AAGTCTTTGTCCCTTGCCGGCTTCACTCCGTTCGCCCGATGCCGCGGCGCCGGCGGCCCGCGTGCGGTTGGCGTTGGTGAGGTCGCCGAGCGCCGCGCGCTTGCGGGTGCCAAGCACGCCACCCGCTGCCGCGGTGGTGGCAGCCTTACCCGCCGCGGCGGCGACCACAGGCTTGGAAGGCCCTGCGTCGGCGGTGCCGGCCTCGCCCATGTCCCTGTAGCCCAACCGGGCGGTCCTGCTGCTGACTGCCCCGACGACGCCGTTCTCACTCGCCTTGACCGTGGTGCTGCGCGTCCGGACGGGGACCCGTCTCGATGCCTGCGTCGTGGGTCGAGTCGAAGGCATCGCGGTGTGTCCGGTTGCAGTGGTGGCAGTGGCAGCGATGGCGATGGCGGTAGTGGCGATGGCGATGGAGATGGCCGTGGTGGTGGTGGTGGTGACGGTGGTGAAGACGGCGACGATGGCGGCGGTGGCGGAGCGGCAGTCGACGACGACGATGCGAGCAAAGGGTCGAGATGCAAGGGGAGCGAGGGGGAAGCAGAGAGAGCGAGATGGGGCAAGGCGCGTGGAGGTCGAGGGTCAGCGCGGCTCAATTGGCAGGGCGAGTTTTGAAATCAAGGGGGAGCCTCGGCCAATTCAAAATCCAAAATGGCCTCGGCGCCAGGCGCTAGTGGGCGGCCGATCGCGTTTTGAAATGCGAAATACAACGCGCCCGATACTCACGATATTCGACGACATGTCGACCGGCTAAAAGTTGTATTCGGGCGGGGGGAAAAGGCCAGGCGGTGAGGTCGGGCTGGCAGGTAAACAGGGCCGTGTCGCGACTCTCAAAGAACGTCTCTCGCCGTAGCCGTCTTGGTGGTGGTGATGGCGTTCGACGACCGGATGAGATGCAGCAGGTCACCCGGAGAGGAGACTGGAGCGTCGAGTGAGAAGTGCGGCCCGGCGTCGAGGCACAGAAAGCGAGACGGGACCAAAGAAGTTGAAGGTCGGGCGGAAAAGGCGCGAGGACGACGTAGGATGGTGTCGGCGACGATCCGCGACAGACGACCCGGAACAGTCGGAGGATCGAAGCGGTGCGCCAAAGGGATGCAAAAGAAAGGCAAGGCGGGACGATGGCGGCGGCGACGAGGGGCAGCGAGGGGGAGGATGGGCGCGAGAAGGATGGGTGAGGAGCGAAGGAGAGGTGGGGACGAGAGGGGGAGAGAGGTGAGGTAGAGAGAGTCAGCCTGGGCTGCCGCGCTGGGGGGCCTCTGGCTGTGGGGCTGCAAAGTGACCCAAGCCTCGATCGACTCGGTCGCGCCCATTTACCGCCCTGCCAGGGTCAGGGCCAGACGCGGTGAGCGAGGCCAGCCAGCCAGCCAGCCAGGCTAGGGCTGCTGCTGGGCCTTGCCTGGCCAGGCGCGCCGCGTTTGTAATGGCTGCAATACAACCACGCGAGGATCGGAGGCGCCTCGAATACCACCGCGGGTCACGCAATACAAGCGCGGCCCTTCAACTTCCACCCCCCGAATACAAACCGAGCCAAGCCTCGGCCAGGGCCAGTGGTGCCCCCACCGACATGGCCTGCCATGGCCCGGCCGGCCTCGGGCACCGCTCCGGCTTGCTCGCGAATGGTGGCGGCAGGCGGTGCGGATGCACGCCGGTTGCGACGGGGCAGAGGGGGGCAGCGCGATGCCATCGCAGCCGCCAGCTTGGGCGAGGCCGGGACTGAGGGAACGGGCCGAGGGCGCAGAAAAGCAAAGACTCACCTCGCAAAGGAGCAGCGGCCGGGGCTGGATCGCCGTGTGTCGGGCGGCGAGGGGATCGACCAGGAGGAAGTCGGTACGAGGGAAGCGCAGAGGTCGTTGCTGCCGGCAGCTTGACCTAGTCGAGGTGGCTTTGGGGAGTTCGCGGCCAGATGGGAGGCTGTCGCTCGAGGGTGGCAGACCAAGTCGCTCAATCGCAAGACTGCGGGAGGGTAGGGCGGCGAGGAGGGCGAAAGAGGGCAGACGGAGATGGAGCAGTCTCGAGAGGAGCGGTGTGCCAAAGGCGAGCAGCGAGAGTAGCGGGAGCGGTGGTGGTGCCGACGGTGGTGGACGACGAGCGAGCGAGTGAGCGAGGCTGCGAAGGTTGAAGGCGCTCTTGAAGACGACGAGGAGCTGTCTGGCCTGGCCGGGGTGGAGGAGGCGGGCTCAGGTCGCGCTGTCCCCTCTGCCTCTGCCTGGCCTCGAAGAAGGGCTTGGACTGGGCGCCAATTCACCATTCCGGCCAACCTACCTGTATGTACCCTGCCTCTCCAGCCTGCCCTACCGGAGCCGGTGCAGCGGTGCTCCCCTTTGATGATATTCGCAGCGGCAGCCCCGGCATCCCCTTTGAACGCGGCACGCACCCACGCACACACGGCGCGACCGCGCTTCGCTCGAACTTCCCCGGCTAGGCCCCCTCCCCTTGCCTTGAATCGAACTGCCCTGCCCTGCCCTGCCCTGCCCTGGCCAGTCGTGGCTGAGGCTTGAGGAAAGGCACCAGAGGTGCTCACTCCTTGCATCGTTCTCGACGTCCGAAGCGTCTGCCCTCTTCTGCGATCCGATACTCTGGCACTGGGATGTGCCTCGGCCGTCTTGGATTCGGCACGACATGGGCAGACCACTCCGTCCCGCTGCGGCATCGACATCCTAGGCTGCGCTGTGCGTCCGTCATGACTGCCAGCGACTGGCCTGCACCTGCGTTTCGTAGACAGCAACATGCCGACCCTCCATCGATGCCGCCAGTCGAGGGTCGAAAGGCCCCATGGTCAAGGCCAGACCAGGGGAGGAGGCCCAGCGTCGACGCTCCGGGACTTGACCGGCGATTAAGATTTCCATGCGCCTTTTCGAGCGTCTTTTCGACGTTCGTCGCCAGAGACCCTAGCCTCTTTGGCTTTCTTGCGGCAAAGCGACCCGACCCAACCTCCACATCCGAAGAAAGCGGGGATTTTGAAAAATCCACAGGGGCCGCCCCCAAAAAACACACACGGGCCCGCCACCGGCCAGCGCGATGCGCAACGCGGCCAGACTTTCAATGCACGTGCACCCAACGACGAAAAACCAACTAGGGAGGTCGGCAGCCGGCAGTCGGATCTCGGGCTCCAGACCTAAAGGGCAGGCCGGCTCTCTCAGAGCTCGTCTGGGATCGGGGCGCCCGTCTGGCCGTTGTTGAACAGGACGTCCTTGAGCACCTGCGCAATCAGGCCGTGCTGCGCCTCTGTCGACACCTTGGACCTGCGGCGGTGGTGCGCCGGCGCAAAGGAGGCGCAGACACGACAGAGAGAGAGGGCGGGACAGGGACAAGGCAAGGTCGAGGTCAGTAGACTGTGCGCCAGGGTAGGTGGTCGCATTCCATCGATCTGCGGCGGGCACTCACGCATCTCGCGACGCCTTGGCCAGCGGCGTCTCGTCTTCCCTCTTTCTCGTCTCGGACACGAGCTTCTCGATCGCATCGGCCGTCATCGGCTCTTGTGCCCCCGTCGCGGCCGCCGCTCCGCCGCCGCCGGGCGCCCTGGCCGGTTCCGTCGACCCGGAGGCCGCGGGCGCGCCGAGCGGCTGGGTCGTCTTGCTCTTTGTGCCGATGGCCTTGGCGGCGCTGGCCAGCTTCTCGGCGAGGTCGCGCACCTGGCCCGTGGCGTAGGCGCGGTTGACGACGAGCGGGCTCTGGCTGAGGGTGCTGACCCAGTACTTGTTCCACAGCAGGTCGAGGAGCTTGGCGTCGAGGCTCGACTTGAAGTGCTCCACCTTGAGCGGGTAGTAGGAGCTGGCGTGCACGCCGAAATCCTCAATCTTGCCCAGCGGGATGCTCTGGTACTCGGACGGCCCGGCGTCGGGCGGCTTGTAGTCCTCGGGGTAGGTGCGGAACGCGCCAATGTCGACCTTGCCCGCCGAGATGGTGCGGTTGGGGTCGATGACGACGGCGACGAACGGATCCTGGTAGCGCTGGTTGGTCATCTGGGTGTTTACGTCGATGCCCGACAGCCAGCAGCCGTAGCCCGGGTGGGAGTGGTACCATCCGATGGCGTTTTCCAGCCGGCCGACGCGCTTGGAGCTCTCGAGGTACTCGACCATGAACTCGTTTGCCTCGTTTTGCGCATTGACGCGCGTCTCTGTGCCCTGCACGGGCAGCGCAAACGCGTCCATGACGTAGATGGTCTGGGTGGCGACGTCGATCTTGCCCTGCATGAGGCCCATGATCTCGTAGATGCCGCCGGAGCGCGCGTGCATCACCATCTTGATGAGGGCCACGGCCGAGATGCGCACCGTCTTGAAGTAGTGCGGGTCGGAGCGCCACGGCGCCGCCTGGAGGATGGAGCGCTGCTCATCGGCATCGTAGCGGAACACCTGATCGAGCGAGGAGGCGTCGAGCGTGACCATCGAGTTTGACACCTCAAAGTTGCGCTGCGCCGTCGAGGCGTCCATGGCGGGCAACGGCGGTGGCGCGGCGGCCGTGGAGGGCGGGAATCAGCGCGGGGAGGAGGTCGAGAGAGGTGGAACAAGGAAGGTGTGATGCGGGTCGACCGGGGAGAACGAGGATGCAAGCAAGGCTGGAGCGTGTTGTCGGTGGTGGAGAGAGGAGAGCGGGTTGAGCCAACAAGCCAACAAGGCAAAGGGCGTGGGCCACCGACTTGTCAGGCAACCGTTTGGCAGCGAGGCTGCGCGCGCTCGAGCCCACGCCTCAGCCTCCACATAGCAGCCCGGCTCCGACAGAGGGAAAGCCCAGCGCAGCCTGGCGGGCGGGCCAGTCAGCCAAGCCGCCGCCGCAGCCTCAACGGACACCTCCCTTCCTCTCCCTCTCTCCCTCTTTGCTCCTCGACCTGGGCGGGCTCCCATCCCATCTCAAGGAGATACATAGCCTGGATGACGATGCACGCGTTGCTACATGAACGCTGGAATCGATACATGGCTCGAGATCGCGACGAGCGCCGGCCCACGCTACCTACTTCCACGACTCGCGCAGCAGCTGCACCTGTTCCGCCACCATCTGCCACGCCTCGCCGCCCTCGTGTCGACGGTCGTAGGCCCGCATGCCCGCCGGCGCGTCCAGCCGAGCCGACGCGCCGCCCTGCTCGGCCGCACGCTGCCGGAGTCCCGCAAAGATGGCGTCGATCTCGGCCCCGATCGCTCCCGCTCCGCCACCGGCTCGCTGACTGAGCGCAGCGACAACGACCAGGCCCGAGCTGCGGCGGATCCGGTCGAGCTCGGTCAGCGCCAGCGCGCTATCCTCGGCCGCCTCATCCTCAAAAGCACCGGCGGCGGCGTCGTCGGCATCGGCCTGGACCAGGATCTCGAGGTGGCAGTCGCAAGCCAGCGCACGCGGAATCGCCCACCGCCCGCCGTGGCGCGAGTACTCGAGGATCCGCCGCGCGTCAAAGCCCGTCATCTCGCCCAGCGAGGCGGCGAGCGAAGAGACCGAACGCTCCAGCTCCTCGTCGCCGTGCGAAGGCACAATCAGGTGGACGAGGTAGCTCGGCGCCAGGGCGGCCAGGAGCGTGCGCAGCCCCTCTAGCGCCGCAGGGTCCGACCGGTCAAACGACGGGGACAGAGAGAGCGACATCGTCGGCCGCTTGACGTTCTTGCTCAGCGCCTTGGCCACGTTGCGGTCGCCAGACGGGTCCGGCTCACGGCGGCTGCCATCGTCATCGTCGTCGCCGCCTCCGCCGCCCGGCTTGCCCATCTGCCTGTAGAGGTAGAGGCCGAGTGAAGCCAGCGCCAGCGCACCGCCAGCAGCAGCAAGCGCCCGGTTACGCGACCGCGTTCCGCGCCCGCCAGGGTTGCCGCCGGCCGCCGACTTGACGCCCAGCTTCTCGCGGATATGCAGCCCCGTCCAGCTGTGCGTGGCAGGGGTCGGCAGCACGGTGCGGTGCACGACGACGGTGGTATTGCTCGGCCGAGCCTCGAGCTTGTCCGATCCTTTGCCAGCCCTGACGGGCACGAGCGAGGTGATGTTCGACGCCTGCGCCAGCAGATGCGCCCGCCAAGACGGTCGGAGCAGGCTGGCGATGACGATCACGTAGAGCACCAGCTTGGAGCGTAGCAGCCGCGACAGCCGAGAGTGGCTCTGCTGCACCTTGCCGCTTGTGGCCTGTCGCTGCGCTCGACGCCGCTCCTCGGCCAGCCGCCAGAGCATGTCGCCGTCGGTCTGGTCCTCGCCCGCCACGCTCAGGGTGCGCGCCAGCTCCTTCCAGACGACGATGAGCTTCCAGCGGATCTCGCGGTGCAGCGCCAGCAGCCGCAGCACAAAGAGGTACGTCAGCGTGCGCATCAGGTCGCGCTTGCGGCGCCGCGCGTGGAGGTGTTGCGGTGTCGTGCTGAGTCCGAGGCTGAAGCGTTGCGCGTCGCCGGGTACCGCCGTCTCCTGCGAGGGCGCGCTGATGTAGGCCGGGTAGCCAAAGAAGGGGTTGGTGGCATTGTAGGGCGAGACGTGGCCCGCGCGGCCTTCGTACTGGCGGCTGCGCTGGGAGAGGAAGCGGTGCTGTGGGACGGCCGACCGCGAAATGGGCGGCTCGCCGAGGAGCGGCACCTGCAGCTGGGGCGAGCCCGGGTCAATGTAGGTGATGGTCGTCACGCCGCCCGCGCAGTCCTCGTCGTCGGCCTGGTCCTTCGACTCCTCTTCGGCGCGCGACTGAGAAGCCCGGCGCCCCTTTCTCCAGCGGGAGAGGAGGCCTCCCTGATCCGCGTCCTCGCCACCCGCGGCCGCTTGCGAGGGGTCGGCTGGCGGCTTGGCACCGTCCTTGCCGCTTGCATCGCTCTCGCTCTCGCTGGCCTCCTGGTCGTCGCCGTCCTCGGCGCTATGTAGGTTGAAGCCGCGCGACATGCCGATGCGTCGCACCGGCGACATGGACCGGCGGCTGCTGGGCGAGCCAAAGTGGACGTGCCTCGCCTCTGCTGTCCGCCTGCTGCCGTGGACAGCGGGGCTCCTGCCCCCGTACGGCGTGGTGACGGGCGAGAGGCCCGCCGTGTTGACCGTCAGACCCAATGCGGCGGGGTCTTCGACCCGCAGGTCCGACGCCGAGCGCTGCCGGGCGAGGTGCTCGCCCCTCGTCATCTGCAGGCGGCGCAGCTTCCTGGCGGCGCTCGGCGTCATCCTCAGGCCCGAAGGTCTAGGGCTCTGGTCGCCGCGTGGCGTGGGCGGACCGCTGTGCTTGGGGGTGATGGGCCGGCTTGCCCACGGCGTGCCCGCAGCGCTGTAGAAGACCTCGTACATGCTCTCGTACGAGCTGTTGCGGCTCAGCCCGCGTTGGGCCCGGGTGACGTCCGGGCTCGAGAGGGGCGTGGGCTGCTCCGAGGCCGACGAGAGCGACCTCTTTGGCCTGCCCCACTTGCGCAGCACGTCGTTGGAAGCGGCGTCCATCTCGACGGCCAGGTCGCCGCTGAAGGCGGCCGGGATGTGCGCCGGGTCAAAGTGGTCGCGCAGCTCGTCGTGCGACGGGAAAAAGATGCGGGCGAGGGCCTGCTCAGGCAGCACGCGCTTGGCGACGGCCCACATGCCTGCGTGGACCCAGCCGTAGTGGAGGATGTAGACGGCGCCGACCATGCCGGGGAAGTGGTTCTTGAGCAGGTCGAGGAGGAAGGGCAGCAGCTCGAGCTCGAGGTTGGCCATGCCGGAGCCCTGCAGGTCGACGGCGATGACGGCCTGAATGACGGGATGCTGGCCGTCGGCGGGACCCGCGGTCCGGCTGGCGCCCGCCTTTTCGTGGCGGTGGCGGGCGTTGAGGTCGGCAATATACCTGCGCATGATCTCCATGCAGGCGACGATGTACTCCTTGAGCTCGTCGAGGGTGTTTTGCTCGGTGCGCTCGACGCAGCGCAGGCTGATGACGCCGCACGGCCTGCCGAAGCGGTCCTTGAAGCTCGAGTTGGCCCAAAAGAGGGGTGGCTGCGGTGCGGGCGGCGAGACGTAGAGCGGGTGGAGGGAAGCGATGGAGAGGAGGTCGAGGTCGGTCTTGATGCGCCAGGCGATGGAGGTGGTGAGGAGGGCTAGCGCCTGGTGGTGATCGTAGCGGGACCTGCGGTAGAAGCGGAAGAGGGTGGCGTGGTCCTCGAGAAAGGCGCGGACGCGGGCGGTGCCCTCGTCCTGCAGCTCGAGCTCCTCGGAGAGCGAGGGGACGAGCTGCTCGAGGGCGAGCCGGAGGAGGTGCTTGACATCTTGGTTGCTGTCCTTGAACTTTTGCTGGAGCTCGCGATGCTTTTGCTCGACCGCCAGCGCGCTCTTGGACTGCTTCTGGGCGACCGAGGGCATCCTGGCAGAGTGTCCGGTGCGAGGCGGCCGGTGCCAGCCAGGCTGCTGCTGCGGCTGCGGCGAGGGGAGTGGTGGTGGTGGGTCAGCGTGCGTGCTGCTGTCGAAGGGGGAAGCTGAAACGGACAAGATAGAGTGAGGGCAAGAGGTGCCGGTATTGGTGATGGTGGTGGTGGTGGTGGTGCGGCGACGGTGACGACGAGGACGAAGGCTGGATGGGAAGTCGGCCGCTGAGGCAGAGGCAGACAAGAGGCATGCGGAGGAGAGAGGGCGAGAAAGACAGAGAGAGAGAGGGTCCGGCTCGTCAGCGGCAGACGGGCCACCAAGTTGGCCGGACCCGCTCCACGCCCGCTTTCATGCCCAGCCGGTGGCCTCTGCCTAAGGTAGGCGTGCCCGTTTGGTTGCCGCTCGCTACCCGATTCCCGCGGGCCCAAGGGCAAAAAAAGCAAGCGGCGAGCATACCGTCCCGTTGGCAGCTGAAAGCGCGCGCGCCGTTCGTCCCCAGGTCTGGCAGGCCAGGGCAGGGCAGGCCACCTCGACGATATGCGCAGCCACAGCCACAATCACAACCACAGGCCCAGCTCGGCTCATCCCAGCCAACAGGTGGCAGTAAACATACGATGCAGTATCGGGTCAACATGAGGAACGCGCGATGGAGCCCAAGAATCGGCAAAGACATGGCAAAGTGGCAGTCTGGGTCAAGGCGAGCGAGAAGAAGGCGTGGAAACATGGATGAAGGACAACGTGGTATAGTCGATCGCTCTATCAGCGAGCAGATGGTAGTGTGAGCGCGGAGGCGGAGGAAAAGGGCGAACGTGACGACAAGGTCCAAGGGACGGACAACGGACTACTGTAGCTGCGCGGCGACAAAGTCGCACGGATTAGGCGGCGGGAGGAAACACGACGATGGATGGACGCCTAGATGGGCATGCGATTCGGAAGGAGCGCAGGGGTGCGGGGAGGCTATTGCTGCGGCTGCGGCTGCTGCTGCTGCTGCTGCTGCTGTTGCATAGCCTGCGAGCGGACCCAGGCGTCAAAGTTGACGGCGTTCTGGTCCTGCATCATGCCGTGCATCGATTCGAGCCCAGGCACGCCGTACTGCGCCAGGGCTCCTTCGGCCCGCTTGCCGGCGTTTTGGTGGTGATGCTGTGAGGAGGGCTGCTGCGGATGCGGCGGATGCTGATGATGGTGGTGGTTGTCATGGCCCGCGCCGAGGTTGAGCCTGAGCTGCCCGTCGACCGGGCTGGGCGTGCGCGGGCCGGACGAATCGAAGCTGGTGTTGAACGACGCCTCGCCCACGCTGGGTCCAGAGGGCGTGCCGTGGCCCGACCACTGCGCCTGGCTCAGGTCGCCCAGATCAACGTTGCTGAGGTGGTGCGCGTGCATCGGCAGCCCGGCCACCGAGCTCCAGCCGTGCTGGTCGTTGGGCACCGGCACGTCGTGGAGCCCCAGGGCCGTCGCGGATCCAAGCGTCTGCGGGTGCACTCCAGGATGAGCGGGTTGCCCCATGTCCGGGTAGCCAAAGAGCGCGCCTTGGCTGGCTCGCCCAGCCTGCACGTCGTGAGCACCGTAAAAGAGCGGGTAGGGATATGGTGGCTGAGACAGGTCGCCCGCGTGCGATGTGGCGGCCGCCATGTAGGCCGGGTCCATGAGCTGAGCGCTCCCGGTGAGGGGCGTCACGAGGCCGTGGACCTGCTGGTAGCCGGACGCCTGATCGTACTGCGTCGACACGCCGGCGCCAGAGGCCGCTGCCATCGACGCCGCCACCGAGGCGGCGTGCGCGTTGGCCTGCTGCTGCTGCTGTTGCTGCTGCTGCTGGTGCTGTTGTTGCTGCTGCTGGTCGCGTTGGGTGCTGCTCGCCTCGACGGGCCTTTCCGTCGGTCCGCTACGTCCGGTCCGGGACCGGA